AAATTTAGCTGCGAAATAGGTAGGCTCACCGGTCTGGCAAATAAGCAGTCGCGAACCAGGAAGGACAGTGTTATAAGAGCGCGGAGGGCCAAGGTCTGGTAGATCAACTACTGTATGAAATGCCACGAATCCCAATGACGGCACTGTGACATAGCGACCGTGAACCAGCATTAAGTAAGTTTGCTTGCCACCGCTGATTTGTGGTTAGGTTCTTGAGTCAAAGCACTGGAGGAGATAACCTCGAACAAATAATCCGAGTGGCTGTTGGAGACTGTCTGTATTCCAAATCACCTAGGAACTCTATGATATTGCCCAAGACACCATCGAGACCGGGCTAGATCAAGCATAGTCAAAACCGCGCCAAAAACGAGTACTCTACTTTCGTTACCTTGTACGACGAGGGTACATTCTGCTTCAGCCTCACTCTTAGAAGAATTTACGACACAAGTCCCAGTAAGTAACTGAGAAGACTCGATCGCTGAGAAAAGGACTTTATTCACCTGACGCTTCGGATTCCATCTCTAACCCATCTTCGGAGACAGCATAAGATACATATAGTTCGTACACAGGCGGTTGCAGCATTTAAAGGATACAGTCGCTATGCTACTGCGTGCCTATGACAATTAACGGCTCCCCTCTATCGCGGATAGTTGCCCGCTTGTGTGCTAATTGCTTAATGGCCGGCGTGCGGGTCGTGACCTGCTGAACTTTCATCCCCCGTTTTGGACTTGGGCGTGATGATTGCTCGGTCACGTGGCCCGCCGGTATTGGCGCCGGAGAGTATGTTTGCCTGTGAGGTACCCGAGTGACTGGTTGCTTTGACCAAACTAAGGCTCAGCACCCAATGTGGGTTGGAGAGATCATAGCACTGGCGGCTCAAACCACTGTCACCTCTCATGGGAATTTCGGTCTACTCGAACTTGAATAAGTGGGCGGATCTCGTCAAATGAGCCACGACTTGATAATTTGCGTCATTTCTCAGCACTTCTGCCCCATGTTCGGCCATTTGCGTTTCGAGAAGTTTTCCAATTTCTTCGACGAAATTGATTTGCCCTCAACTGCACCGCATCCTATATACGATCCCAGATGTTTCCTGCCTTGGCAGTGGGTCTTTTGATTTCATTATCTGACGCCTTATGGCTGCCTCCGGCCTATGTTTGATTCCAATTCCGAGTAGTGCGAGATGGCCGCTGACGGCCTCAAAGACTTTTTGACGTACGGACGCACTCGCCGAAATTTGGGGTTGGTGTGATTTTGTCGCTCGTATTTTTTGCGTATGCACTAGTTGACGAAGTTGCGCGGGCGCCTATTTTCTCTGAACACCCGTTAGAGATATTGCAATTCGGCAAACTCGTCTTCCGGGTACACTGTAGTGCATCTCAACACGCCGATATGGCACTATATTCGCGCTTTCAGTTCCGGCGCACCAGAGGACAAGCATACCAAGTGGAGGGAGAGGGGGGCGTTTATTGTCAGAACGGTATGCAGTAGCATAACGACTGCATCCTATAAAAGCTGTAATCCCTCTGTGTACGAAGTACTCGCATCTGATGCTGTCCCTGAAGATGGATTCCAGATAAAAATTCGAAACATCGAGCGAATAAATTTCTTGTCTCAGCGATCGTGTCTACTTCCTCTGAACTTACGACATTTAACACAGTGACACAGAGGCGGGTTCACGTGAGTCTGAAAAAAGTGAGCAGTGGTGCATATGCGAGTAAAATAGCTCCACCTAGAAAAAAGAACTCGATCAATAAAGCTACAGAAAGACTGGGAAGGATGGTTGATCAGTTCCGTACGTCGAAAAGGGAACGTTGAGAAAAAGTTAAACGTAACAGAACGAACACCGGCACAGTGTCTACTTCAAAGAAAAGTTTTGGAGGATTAATGAGCCTCGTGTATTACTTGCGTCTAGAAAATATGCGGGTCAAAAGATTGCACTGTTAAAGGTGTGCGTACTAGCGTGCGTCAGAAGGCCCGACGACACGAAGTTCAACTATACCTTGCCGCCCACACAACGGCATAAATGATCAATGAATAAATTATTCAATTTTCTTAGTCCAAGCCTACTCAATTGAGTCAATGGTGGTTGGAGGAAAGAAGTAACCGATTTGGTAAAGCGGGGGTGTGATCTAGGTCTGACTCAAACTAAGTCTTGGCGTAAATACACAGGGTTGATGGCCCATAAGTAGAAAGGCGCAACGTCGCTAGTTAAGAGACCAACAATTCTAATGTCCGCATGACATTAGAATGGCATTATGGCATAAACGACAAGTTAGGACTTAATGATCCGATAATCTGCGGCCTGAAGGCGACAACCATGAGTTTGATAAGGTTCATGTAGCCAAGAGCGGCAGGTCAAGAACTTAATGCGGACGGTTGAGTTAATGAGCGTACATCTAATGTAAGTCGAAAATGAGAATCAGTTGGTTAAGCAAATACTATATGAAGCTTTTCAGTCCGTTGTGATTTAAACTGGAGTTAAACTACTTCGTCACTAGATACGCTGAAAGGTGATACGTCAAGCTCACGCCGCATTATCTTCCTGAGCAAGTAACTGAATTGAGTTTATAAATAGGTACTTTAGGATGCGGCACAAAGGCGGTCGGTGTCGGTAAATCAGATAGAAAATTCCCTAAAAAAGCACACAACTACTTCCTATTTCAACCAAAATGGAAGCATAGTAATAAATTTTCGTTTCTAAAAGGACCCATCGCTCATGCAAAAGGCGGATAAGGCCTATTGGCGCAACGGCAAAACACATGGTCTTCTACCAGATAGGCTAGGTACGTGGTCTATGGAAGGTCCAATGCACGAAATGGTCCTTTTAACTGATCATATGCTAAGCACGGCCAAGCACGGGCAGCTGGTGTAATCTATGGTATGCAAATAATGAGACTTCTAATCTGCAGTTAAGTCAAGTCAAGTTTATTAAGGGAAATATGGGCAAACGCCTTTGAACTCCCTAACCGGAAGACGGCGTCTGTATTTCCCTATTTCAGCAAAGATTCTCCTTGAATAGATGGAAAGCGGTCAAGATTAATATGAATAAAAAAGGAAAGTATTGAGAAATTTACTTGTTATGGATTCGCCTCGATATATGAGAAATGGGGGAATTTTCTCGCCCGCCGCGCTCGCCGCACCAATCATCGCCACAGTGGGATTCCAGTAGCTTGCCGACTGAGACCGCTGAATTCCGATGGGAAGAATGCGCGGAGGTTGGTTTTCACAGCTAATGCTAACTTCATCGACAATCCACATATGCTCGGGCTTGTCCTTGATTCCATATTTTGTGAGGACCTGAAAAATGGACAGAACGATAGCGCTATTAACGTAAAGATGACTTAAGTGTTAGCTGAATAATCTGATTAATAAATGTCTTTCATGCGATCTTCTTGGAATTTGGTCATAGACAGCTGACCTGAATAAAATTGGCACTTGAACCTGTGAACTATGGTAAGCAGTCAGCAAGTCTGGCGCAGGAGTATTGTGACCCGACAGGAACTTAAAAAAACGAATCACAAAACAAGCTGAGTCGTAAAAAAGATGCAAAAAAGGGTCCAATAGGCTCTTGTTTCCAGTGTTATATCTTGTGAGGGGGCGAGATGTCCAAGGAAGTATATTGAGGATTTGTAAGCTGCCGATGGAGTTAAAATTCATGTGATGTGTGAATGGTAGTAACAATTTTCTTATCAGTGAATATTCTGCTTAACGAAGCAGCAAATGTAAAACAAGTCAGAAGCAAACAAAAGTAGCATTGACGTAATAAGTCATGTAGTGTGACAGTCAAAAATTGATCGGTAAGAAGCAGCTAGTGCAAAAAATTAATCTGTGTGAAAGCTTGGAAAATATAATAAAATAACATTGCTACTTTGATTAGTAGGTAAAACATATTTGCCTGTGGTAAGAAAGTTGACCCAATAGGCACGCTTTGGATTGAGGTAGAAAAGCATTTTTGAACATAAAACACAATCAGTTACCTTGTCCAGTTGCTCGAAATAGGCCTGAATTGCATCCCCAGAAACGCCCTTTGATTTCCAGTTACTCCGAGGCCCGAACAAAAAATTCTTCAAATCGGGCCATCGATTGAGGAATGCGTAAAACCATGCCTGACTTGGATTCAGGTATTTAAAGGGTGCGATCCGACCGACGGCTTTTGTCATATCACCAGCCAGCTCTACAACCTTTGATGACAACAGGAAAAACAAAACAGGTTGACTAAGAATTGGGAGCGTGATTCTCTAAGGGGCTTCAGTAGATGCATTATAAACAGGTCACCTTGAAGGGCAAAAACTGAGTTGCCAAAAAAAACATTACAACTGTTTTTTTACACAAGTACCCATAACAAACCCAATGACTTGAATGAATTTCCTAATTACACTAACTAGATTCACTGAAGTTCGGCGTTACCATTTTGGTTGGCCATAACAAAGTTGCCCAGGACAAGTAACAGAATTACTGAAATCGAAGTCATCATCGACCGGTGTAGCTGGGAGTGATACGCAAACACCTTCTATAGAAGTTTCAATAAACTTGAAAATGGGTATTTCAGTAAAGACGATGAATAAATTCTATCTTACTCCGGCCAAGTGGGACAATAGACTGTTTTTGAACTGCTTACTCGTGACAGTCAAATCTGGGAAATGAAAATTGCATGTGAAGGGACAGAAATACATTGCGTGTATGCAAAACCAACAAACTCGATGTGGAAAGAAAAATTGCAAAGGTAAACTTTTTCGGTATTAAACCGTGATCCTAAATAGTTTCCAATAATAGCGTTTATACTAATGTATGTCATTTCTTTATGGCATGACGATTATCATGGACCTGTGGTTGTGACAACATACAGTGTGAATACTCGTCGATGAACGTTCACTGACCGGTAACGGAACTCACTTGTCCCTTTGTCTTGGGCTTCATTTCTCGGGCCCTTACAGCGACCGTAGCAGCTGGTAGTATAGGCAGATAGTGTTGCCGGCAAAGAAAACGGAGACTGGAATGGCCATTTCTGGCTTATCAACCGCCCATGCCAAATCCCGCGTGTTGTACCACCCAAGGCTCGGTCTCACAACCTTTTCGATCAGAGTCTAACGCTTTAATCATTGAGCAACGAGTTTGTTGTATTGTCAGTTAAAGTCCACAGATACTGACACAAGTAGACGAAGGTTCACCGAACGGGCCTCGAGGTGTGCACCACTTGGGGCTGGTATAACTGCCTGAGGGTAGCTAATAAGCTAGAAATGGCCATTCCAGTCTCCCTTGTCTTTGGTGGCAGTACTTTCTGCCACACAGTGTGGATATTAAAAATCCATGTTTTGCTGACATAATTGCTCGTACGGCTTTTCTTCTTTGATCGACAGCGACTAAGTCCGTACGGCTTACTTTTATTAGTACTTGATACAGCTGTCACCATGCCTCACCTAGCTGGCCTTGATGATGATGATGATGATGATGATGATGA